CACACACACACACCAAATGCATAGGTGCTTGCCACAGACGCCTCAGGTGTACATTCTCCCATCAGGGATCAGAAGTGGGCAAAATGCAGGTCTGCTGCCAAGACCCCCTTGGGCTTAAAACAAGACGGGGGGGAGGTTTTCCCCCAAAGATGATTGTGCCCCACAAAGACATTAATGCGAGGGGGGAAGTGGGCTGATGGGCTTTTTTGGGGGCCATTATTTAAATTCTGGGGAAGAGGGTGTAGATAGAAGGTGAATCCAGGGGTGCCGGAGTGGTAAGTGTGGAATAGATGCAGCCCCCCTCCCCAATCCGCAGGGAGGCAGATCCAGGCGCCCGACCCCTCCACCCTGTTTGCCCCCCAGGCAAGACAACAGCCTTGTCTCCCTTCTGACCTTGCAGTTTGGAATTGGGATCATAATGGGAATCAGAGCTTCTTGGTCTTCTTTTTCCATGTCAGGCGCTCGGAGCATTTCCACCATTACCTCCTTGGCAAAAGAGAGAGACCTGAAAGAGGCAGCTGGGGGGGGTGGACCCTTTGGGTGGGGTCATCTTGGCAAAGTGTTCCCGCCACCCCAACCCACCCAGGTCTGTGCAAAGTCTAGGGCCATAACACAGTTGTAAGTTGTGACAAGCTGGCCTTCTCCTGCCTGCAGCTGCTGCGCCGTCTGCTTTGCAAGGGAGATGGAAGAGGAAGTAAACTCCAGCCTCCTCCTGTGACTGAGATGCAGGCTGGGGGGACCCCGGAAAAGGTCCGGGGGCTTCTCGCTGGTGTAAGCCAAAGGAAGCAGCTGGAGGCAGGATCCACCGGCCAGGTGCTTTAGGAGCAAAGCAGCGCTGTCCTGAGTGGGCTTCCTCCCCACCACCACCACCATGACCTTGCTGGGCCTGGCCCCCAAGTCGGTTTTGCCTGCAGGCCATGAAGCCCATACAGCTGGGAAAAAGCGTCAGGGAAGCCAGCTGAAGCCAGGCTCTCCTCAGCCCCCTTCAGAAGGCAGAGGGACTCGGGAGTCCTTCCAGCCATCCTTCCCTTCCCTTCCCTTCCTTCCTTCCTTCCTTCCTTCCTTCCTTCCTTCCGGGACTGTTTTCTCTGGTCTTCCTGAGCCTCCTTCCAGCCCCTCGGCTTGATGGGTCGTCTCGTCCTGCCCCTCCCAGCTAGGCATCTGCCCACACCCCTACGTGGCAAGGGAGGGTCCCCCCCCAAGAGCTGGGTGTGCTGCAGGTGTTTCTCTGCAGGGAGACTTGGTGGCCGTTTTCTGTCATCGGCGGTGGTTCTTTGCTGTCGAGGCGCTTCGGACTCATGGAAACACCTCTAGAGTTTTCAAAATATACCAGATAGTCAAGGAGAGCTTTCTCGTTGCTGCCACCCCGCCTGAGCTTCCGTGGCCAGGCAGGGATTTGAATCCCCATCTCTGAGCCCTAGTCCAGCAGACTGTCCCTGGCACGGTGCTCTCGTTTGCGGCTCAGGAGGAATAAGGAAGTTGGCTAAGAGTCCCTTTGGCAGGACGGCCCGTCTGTTCTCCGGACCCGCAGGATCCAGATTCTAGCTGGGAGGATCGTAGTCCTCCTTGCTGGCTGAAGCTCTAAGCCAGACCTGGGCAAAGTGTGGCCCGAGGGCCACATACGGCCCGTGAGCCGCTCCTGTCCAGCCCGCAGACAGTTTTGAACATCAAAACCATTTATAGCTTTTTGTCTAAAGGTGATTAGTTGCTTATCTTTAACATACCGCAAAAAACCTCTTTAGTATTTGTGAAGATTAACAAGTTTAAAATAAAAACAATCATAACATCACTGTTTCATTTTATTTTTAAGTAAAGTTGGTTCGGCCCTCGAACACACTTTAGATTTTTCATGTGGCCCCCCCTATAGAAATTAATGGCCCACCCCTGCTCTAAGCTGTTCAGCTTCAGGATTAGCATGTGCCCCCCTCCCCCACCCCCCTGCAGCAGGGTCCGGCGCGCACGGTAGGGGCACCCCTAGAAGCAGAGTCCAGAGGGCCCTGGCTTCCCTTCCAGCCCAGAGGCCCCCTTTGTCCTCACAGCCCTCTGCTTTTTCTCTTGAAGGAGGAGAGGAAGGAGGTGAAGAGGAAGAAGACAAGATGCAGAATGGGAAGGACCGAGGTGAGCACCCAGCCGGCGCCTCCCCCCCCTCTGTTTGGCAGGGGTCGGCAAGAGGCAAGCAGGACGGCCCTGCTGCCTGCGTTGGTTCTCCCCGTTATTCCATGAAAGGGCTTTTCCCGTTGGCATAAATTCCGCTTTTGGGGGAATCAGACAAGAGGCCTGGAGCAGAATCGTTGCCTTGCTGGGCCCAGAGCCCTCTTCGTAGAGGACGAGTCCCATCCGTGCCCGGGCATAGGGAGGAATTCAGAGGTGGGATTCAGCAGGTTCGCTTCGCAGCCTGCCCCCCAATTGGTCCTGACTTGACCAGATAGGCGGGATATAAAATAATTAATTAATTGTGTTGGGGGGGGGAGAACCTCGGTGCTTGAGACTTCCAGGACGGACGTCCTCTGACGGGTTGCTTTTCGGGTTGTGGCTGCTCTTTGCTTCTTGCTCTTCTTGTTCAAACCACCTTTGGCCAGAAGCCACCCTGAGGGCTTGATTCAAGGGCAGGTCCTTCAGCCATCGCAAGGAGACAGGAGGGGACCTGGCCACCGTGGCTGCCGCCGGATCGCCTCTGACCAGCTTCTTTCTCGGCCTTTGCTCTCTCTTTCTGTTTTCTTACAGGTTAAACGGAAGAACCTGAACTGGCCAGCAAGTCAAGTAAGCCTAGAGGCCCTCCCTTCCTGCTTTGGGCGGTGGGTAGAGATGGGCACAAACCGGTTCATGCCAGTTCATCAAGGGGGCACCGCAGGTGCTGGTGCCCCCTGCCCCGCCTCCTCCGGCTCCGCCAGCCCCTCCCCAGGCCCAGCCGGTGAGCCTCCTGCCCCTCCTCGACTGATCTCCCAGTCCTGGCCAGGTGCACAGGCTTCTCTGCCCCCTCCTTCTCGGCTGACCTGCCACTCAGAGAAAAGGGCGGGGCAGAGAAGTCTGGGCTCTTGCCCGTGACCTGGAGATCAGCCGAGGAGGCGGGAAAAGCAAGCCAGCTGGGACTGGGGAGGGGCAGATTGAGCCAGAGAAGGCAGGGAGGGGAGCAGCAGCCCCTGTACTGCCTGCTGCCTTAACGAACTGGGATGAACTGGGACAAACTGGTTCATTCCCATCTCTAGCGGTGGGTAGCCAGTGTTGTGTCTACAGCTCTGTCAAAGGGGAAAGGTTTGCCGTGCAGACCTGGCAGAGAGAGAGTAGAGGGCTTGCCCCTGGATTTTTAACCAAAAGCATGCCTTTGGGGTTGTAGGGATCACGATTGTCCTGAGCATGCAGCAACAACACGTGCTTCCTTTACTTTTACTTATTTATGTATTTATTTTAAATATTTTCATCTGGCCTTTCTCCTTAAAAAGAACCCATGGCACAGATCCCATTCACATTTCCTTCTGGCTTGAACCAAACTCCTTTTCCTTTTTTTTTTTTTTTTTTTTGTGTGTGGTGCTTTTGCGCGTATCAATAAATATTTTGTATTTCTAAGAGATGTTTCCAGTGATTCTGACATCCCAGTAGAATTTAAGTAGTCCTGCTACTCTGTTGTAGCAGAAGAGAAAGCAGAAGTTCTGCAGCACTGAAAAATCTAACTAGTTTTTTATTTTTCATAAGCTTTTGTGTGTCCAGGCATACTTCAGAGGAAGAGTGTGCTTGGCATACAAAATCTTAAGAAAAATTAAAATGAATTAATCTTAATGTATAAATGAGTAGTTTACCAAAACAGAAGGAATGAGCCTGTTCAGAGTGTAATGTGTGATATGACTATAACAATTGTTTGTTAAACAATGAAAAGGATGAAAAACGTTTATCTGTAGAAGGAGCTGCCTCTAAAAAATTGCATTCTCCATCACTAAGCCAACATAAACACTAGACCTCAACAGCTGAAAAGCAGACTTGTCGACCTCCTGGTTACACCTGCAAACTGATACCGTAGGAGGTGCAGATGTCTTTACAGGTCATGCATCTGCTCTCTTTCTGCTGGAAGTCTAGGCATTCGTTTGGCGGAGAGCACAAGATCTGCCTGAGACGCCTATTGTCTAGGAATCAAGGCCTTGGTCTTCCTAGAGATGGACTCTCTTCCCCCTGGCAAGGAGCGAGCGGCAACATCTCAGCTGGTGCCTCATGGCCAGCCTGCCCACCTGGCTTTTTACTGGGGAGGGTGTCCGTTTGTAACATTTTTCCTGCCCAATCCCACACCCTCACTCTAACCGCATCCAAGTCTGCACAGGAAGAGAGGTGCCCCTCTCCTGGCCTTGCAGGGTCCTGCTTACTGCAGCTGCTGGGGGAAAAAATGTTCAGCGCGGACCAGTGTGTACAGGATAGGAGCTGAGATTTCAGGCTGCTCGCCCAAGGAGGAGAGGCCCGGATCCTCAGCCGTTTTGCTAAAACAGGACTGTACACCTGGGCGCCTCTCCATTCCTCAGGACCTTGAACTTCGCCCTGGGAGACCTTCACCCACTCACCCACCCCGGTTTTCCTGTGGGGCCAAGAGCAGCCGGGTTGAAGGGACTCCGTGGCCTGGCGGGTTCCAGGGGACAAAGCTGGCTGTTCGACTGGGGTGGGTGGTGGGTTTCCTGTGAGGCGCCTGACGGGCTGCTCTGTCTCTTGGTGCAGGTAACGAGGCGCAATCTCTTCCTCCCGGGAGGTCTCTGCATCCTTCCAAAGAGACACGTTCCAGCCGACACATCCACCATTGTGAAGCTGTGATGACCACAACGTATCGGGGAAGCAGCCTCCTTCCAGCAGACAGAGTGGCTTTCCTGGGGTGGGGGTGGGAGGGGGCATCTCCTTAGGTTTGCATGTCCTGTTTCCATAGGTGTTCCAGTGCTAGTAATTGGGAACAGCCTCATCATCTCCGTTTCGGCGAGGACACTTTTCAAAGAGCGGCTTCCCCAAAGCCGAGCCTCCCTCCGTGAACCCTCCCCTCGCCGCCCCTCGCTCAGCATGGCCCGTCGGGGCCTCCTCAGCCACACACCGCCCCACCGGGGACCTCTGGAGCCAGCTTCCTTGCCCAAAGGCAGGCTTGCCTGGGGACGACCCCTTCCTGGGGCAAGCACAGCCCGGACCGCGTGCTGAGCAGGGGCTCTGCTGCGGCATCAGCCAAGGCCCGGTTTGCTTCTGTTGGGCTGTGGGCTGGGGCCGGTTGGCTTGTCGGGGAGTCACACGGTGCTGGTAGAGAGTCGGGGTAGCCCAACGGGGTAGCCCAATGGCCAGAGGGTGTGCAGTCGAGGGCACGAGAGACCCCACTGGGACCCTTCTCTGCACAGAAGGAGAGCAGCAGCCCTGGAAGACTCCCGTGCGGTCGGCCAAGGCCGGTTCATTTCCTTTGGGGTTTCACAAGGGTACCTCTGAGCCCTGTCTTTGTACAGCAGAACGGTCTCCCACTGAGATGTTCCACCACCCAGAGTCCACCAGGTACTGCTCTGTGTGTGTGTGTGTGTGTGTGTGTGTGAGAGAGAGAGAGAGAGAGAGAGAGTTTGTTGTGCCCTAAAACTCCAGACTCGGGGGGCCTGTGCTTGAGTTCCAGACCCACCCCCCGGAGTGTCCCCCCCTCCTGTGCTCGGTTGCAGCAGAGAAGCCATCAAGCCCAGGCGGGTTGCCCTTGGGACTCCCAGCTGCAGTGCGGACCGGCACCCCCGTCAGACAGATGGAGCCCTGGCATCAGGAGTGACCACCGCTTGCCCCCTCCAAGCCAGTGTCCAGGCACCTGTGGGGGGGGCACCTGGCGGAGGGCAGTGTGGCCGCTTGGGCCCCTTTCAGGCCAAGGCCAGGGCAGGACTGGGTCTGACCAGAGGTCCCTCTCGTTCAGCCGCCAGCTCTTGAAACAGGAATCGGATACCAAGTGGGCTCTATCAAGTCCTCCTCCTGGCTGCTTTCAGTCAAATCACACCCACCGCTGGCCTTAAAAACAGCAGCCAAAGGGACTGACCCCGAAGTTGAAGGAACCAGCCCCCCCCTTGCCTGCCTGGCAACAGGCCAGCCCGATGGATCAGGCGGGTAGCCAGCGTGGGGCCGGCCCCGCAGCCCAAACGGTGCCCCCATCCCAGCCGTCTCTGTCCTTCCGGTTCCGACCAAGGACCCTGGACCCAGGCTCGCTGAGGACCTCGGTTGGATTCAGCTGGGGAGACCGAATGGGGGGCAGAGCCCTGGCGGCTACCCCCAGGTTGCGCCGGGGCTCCTGTGGGGATGCTTTTCTTCAGCCTTGGTGGGTCCTGTGAGCCCCCTGGATTCCCAGCTGGCAGAGGCTGGGATGACAAAGCCCCCACCACGCCCCGAGCTCTCGTCCACCTTGCCTGGGCTGAGCCCTGGCTGGGGGGCAGGTACTGAGCATCTCACTGGCATCCATGGACCTGTTGCCCACAGGTACGTGTCAGGAGAAACCATAGTGTAGGGGTGGGGGGGTGAGAGAGAGAGAGAGAAAGCGTGGATTTGTGCCGGCACAAGAATCTAAGAAGAGCCTTCCTGGACCAGGCCAAGGGGCCCCTCTTCGTCCAGCTCGCTGTCTCTCTCACGGTGGCCCCACTAGATACAGATGCCTCTGGGAGCACAGGAGAGACCACGAGAGACCCCTGTCTCCTGATCCCCCTCTTCCCCTGCACCTGGCCTTTGGAGGGACGTTCCTTCGAAGCCGGGAGATTGTACTACATCCCCATCAGGGCTGGTCACCTGCGCTGGACTTTTCCTCCAGGAATGTCGTGTAGTGTTGGCAGAGGGGGAAGCGGGTGCAGGATGGGGCCCGGAGGCAAAGTTCCCTGTACAGCTGTTCCTTTCTTGTTAGCTGAGGCAGGAACGATCCTGTTGCACCAAAAACAGTCTCAAAAGCAACCCGGCTTTTCCAAAGCCAGGGCCTTCGTTGTGGTGGTTTTAATTCCGGGGGGTTGAAGGGTTGGGGGGGGTCATTCTGGGAAACTGTTTGCTTTTGATCTCAGCAGGTGGCCTCCTCCGAGGGGCTCCTGGGACCCTGGCAGGAGCCCCTCCGCTGGGAGCCTTTTCGGGACAGGGATGGGACAGGGTGTGTGTTTCGAACCGGGCTGGCTGCTTGTTAATTGGACCTCCCTTCGACTCAGGTTACAAATCACGCTCCATAATGGTAAATGTGTGCCAGCTGGGCAGCCAGGATCGTGCCCTCACCTCCTCTGAGCCCTCATGGGGCTGCTCAGCTGGGCACCCCCAAAGCGAGCCGGGCGTTGCGGGCAGAACGGCCGAGCCCACGGACCCCTTGGAGCGTCCAGGTGGGCCTCCCGGGAAGGCCGGAAGAGCCCCAGGCAGGCAGGCAGGCAGCCGGGCTTCCCCCAAGGAGACCTCAGTCGGGGACCCGGGGACGGCCTCCTGGTGCCAGTGGGTGGCAATACGTGGGAGGGCGATATGGCCACCCGTGGTCCCCAGCACCCCCTGAAACCTCGCTTGGGACTGGCTGAACACCACTGACGCGAGGGGGTTTGTAATAGTTCCCGTTGACAACGATTCCCCCGGCCCTTTGCTCTCTCTCTCTCTTTCTTTCTCTCTCCGACGCGAGGGGGTTTGTAATAGTTCCTGTTGACAACAATTCCCCCGGCCCTTCGCTCTCTCTCTCTCTCTCTCTCTGTGTGTGTGTGAGTGTGAGTGCAAAGGCAGACGCTTCCAAGTCTGAATGAGGTGCCTGGGTGTGAGTATACATGTTTTCATTTAAAAATTGTTTAAAATATCTGGGAGATTCTGTACATGTTGGGAACACATCTAATAGAAAGCTGTAAACTGGAAGCCATGTTTTCTCATCTGCCAAATATTTAATAAACGACTAGTATCCGTCCGGACTGGAGGGCGTCTTGAAGGTCTGGCTGGACGGCGGGCAAGAGCGGAGGCGGGTCCCGAGGCTTGAAACCCCAGGGAGCCTCAGGATCCACGGAGGGGACGTGGTCTGCCATGGAGGAGTGCAGGTGGTGGTCTTCCCCTGAGAGGAGAGAGAGTCTGGCCCGTCTCTCCTCCAGAACCTGCCCCCTTTCCCTGAATGATAGGGAACACCGTGGGGGGGAGGGAGGGGGAAGGGCTAGAAAGCAAGGGGGCAGCAACAGAGGGATTGCACGGCGGGCATTCCTCCAGCACGAGCTGACCCCCACCCCACCCCACCCACCCAGCAAGGGATGCCTTCCGTACGCTTTCCAAGAAAGTGCTGCTTGCAGGACTCCTGGGACCCCCATCGCCACAGCTTCTTGGACCCACAGCACAGCCTCAGAGCAACCGGAGCTGGGGGGTCCACAGTGGCCACGGGGCTACAAAGGGATTGGGATGCTCATCCTGAGCCCCTCTCCCCATCCCATCACCAAAACCCCATGAGCCAGGCAGGGGTCAGACGCCAAGGCAAAGCCTGCTGAAAGGGGGCACCTGTCTGGCTCCTCTGCCCTGAGGGGGTTCACCTCCTTGGTTCACCCAGCAGGGCAAAGCCCGGAGGGAGAAGAGGCAGCCACGGGCTGAGACTCCACAGGTGAGTTTCCCACAGCCTGTGAGGCAAATGCCCGGGAGAAATCTTCCCCAGGTGGGGGGGGGGAAGCAGGCTGGAGAGGTGAGGGCGCAGAACCTCCTCTTCTGTCAGATGCTTCTGTGTACTTTCACGTGGACGTACACGCGCCACTATCAGAAAGGCAACTGCATCTCTCCCCCGCCTCCCCCCCCACTTGGGGAGCCATCGTTGGCGCAAGGAGCAACGCCCCAGGGTGGGTGGCAAGACACAGGACGGTGAAGCCTCGTGGAGGCTGAGAGGCTCCAAAGAATGGGTAGCCTACCCCCCACCCCCCAGGAGAGATCCCTCCGGGATGCCCGTGAAACCCCATGTCCGGAAATGAAGATGAAAAGCGGAGGCTCTCTGAGAGGACTTCTTCCTAACTCTGAACTCCTTCCTCTACCAACAAGAGTTATGATGATGACCAGTTACATTTCTCAGTTTGCTTGACCTCCTGCTTTTCTCTCAGCGTTCGGGTTCAAAGCAGCTGCCTGCTTTGCCAAGGGCAGGAGCCGGCGCCCAGTTCTAGAGCGGGATCCCAGCGCGAGAACGGCTCTCTGCCCGTGATCTGTGTGATGATTCCGCACGACCCTCGTCGGGGATGAATGGGTATCTCATATTTATTTATTATTTGATTTGATTTGTACCCCGCCCATCTGGTCTATAAGACCACTCTAGGCGGCTACCTTCTTCTTCATGGCCTCTTGTGAATCACACTACGGGTAATCCATGCAGGTGTGGAACTTCGTCAGAACATTCTAGAGCTTCTGCGGTAGCAAAAAGATATATTAGCGTAGGCCCCTCCCCCCCGGCATACATACTTTGGTGCAATGCTCTCCCTTCAGTTTTTCTTCAACTACCGTGTTGAAGAGCCTCGAACCTGAAAGTGAAAGAACGATATTGAACTTTTATTTTAAATCTTCTTTCTCTACCAATTATAAACCTATTTCAGTATTTTAAAAATTGTACACTCCAGCCTTAGAGCCGAAGCAAACACCCCCACACACACAATTTCTTCTTTTCAAACCATTCTTTGATTCATGGCCTCTTCAGGCCCATTTAAACTCTCTGACGGCCACGCTAAATGTCTTTTTTGCATTGGTGAGGCTCATCAGACTTCCACGTGTCCTCACTGCAAAAACTTTAAGCATTGAGTTCTGCGCAGCTGCCTTCCAAGGCTCAAGCTTCGGCTTTGGGAGCAATCTCTCCAGCCTGCTAAGCCTACAGCCCTATCTGACTGCAAGTCCATCTCCCACACGAAAGTTACAGACAAAGCTGTTTCCGAAGCAGCAACACAACATCCTTCAGCTACTCCATCTCGCTCGGATCACCAAGAACCGGCTGTGCCCCCGAACTCAACTGTCACACAGGTTCACAAGCCTAAGCAGTCGACACCGAAACCCTCGACATCAAAAACAGCCTCTAAGAAGAGAAAACCACCCATCGATTCTTCCTCAGCTTCCAAAGAAGGCTAAGTCTTCGAAATTGAAGGTTTCCAAAACCACTTCCCCGACTTCACAGCCACGGAAGTCCAGAGACCTCATCTGCGTTGGTTCTCTTTCAGAGGAGGAGGCACTTCCGCCTCATCAACCACCACCGTTGCAGCCTCCTGATTGGGAACAGCGTGTTCATCAACTCACGGGTTCTCCTGATAGCCCGCAACAATCCTCGGGCTCTCCCAGTGAGTCTTCACAAATTGTCTCGCCAGACATCCATAGCGCTGAAACGCCACCAGAAACTATGCCTGACTCTGCCCCAGAAGGCCTACCACCTCAGACTCCGGCACATCAACAAAGACACCAAGCCTATAAGAGCATCGGCTTGCCTTCTCGCACGGAAAGAGATCACGCTCAGCACCGTCACTGGGATGCCGTTTGCCCTGATTGGTGCCCAGCAGAGAAGTCCGCCAAACACTATGGACC